TACGAGGGGACTTGTGGAAGTGATCCTGAGCCCCAGCTCGGGTCAGATGGGGCTGTCAGGACTCGCAAGGGAGTCATCAGCCCTTGCACCTCCCACGGCACAAAGTCTGCAGCTTGGGCTGGCCAGGACAGGTTTTAAGGTTGTGTTTTCCCTCTTCTCACTCCTGTGCCTTCTGTGCAACTGGCTGTTAGCTTTGGTCTGGTAGAACCAAGAGCTATTTATTTAGATTTAAACAACAATAAAAAGCACATAGTAAAAGCTGTAAGTGTCCTAACAGTTAAGCACAGCCACATCGTAACGACTGCCCAGCAGCAATAAATAATCATATACAGGTAGCATTAACTTTGAGGGTGTGCTGTAAAGCTGTTTTCTCCCCCTTCCTCTTGGGCTTTTGAGAAGGAGTGGGCTGCAGGAGGTAAGTCAGTTATGTGGGAGTTACTGTGATCACTCTCCTCTCCAGCACATGTCACTGGGATAGTTCTGGCTGTGTTTTATGGGGTTCCTGATCCCACAGGAGGCTGCTGGAGAGCTGTGGGACAGGACCAGAGAGGCACCTGCACCATCGGGCAGGCAGCAGCTCTGCTGTACCTCCTGGGTAGAACCACGTGTTGGTTATAAACCAGGGGTTTAAAATAGCAGGAGAAGCAGTCACTGGCTGCTGGACACGCTCACACCTCGCCGTGCCGTGAGCCCAGCCCCAGGGCTGTGGACAGCAAAGCTGCCATCCCTCAGGTGACACCGGTCACTGCAGGGCTGGCTGACAGCAGCTCTGCTCTGTGGCAAAAAGGCAAATGACAGGCCAGTGGCCAGAGGCACCCCGGGATGTAGGAACAGCAAAAGTATGTTCAGAAGCAGGAGGAATCCTGGGCAGGGGCCAGGGAGCACCGTGGTGCTGCTCTGTGCGTATGGCTTTCAGGGGACTGAAACAATCCCAGCTATAAATAATGGGTTAATGCTTCCATTCATTTGGGCTTTAAATGTATATTACATCTATGCTTTTGTCCCACATTAAGCCCAGTTTCTGTAAGTAGCAGCAGCAGCAGCTCTGGGGTTTGGTGCACAGCAATCTGTTAAGGAGATAAATAATCTGCTTTGGCATGACACTCCTACTCTCCTCTTTAATTTGTCTTACACAAGGAAAATTATAATTAAATCATTCAGGGTAAACCCTTGAGTGTAGAGAAGGAAAAAACACACTTTGGTAAAGATTGCCAATAGAGACCAACTTCCCTGTTGTGCCGTGCGGAGACATTTATCAATATTCAGCACTATTAAAGAGAGAACATTTCGTGTGATTTGTGAGGCGGATGCCAAAGCTCAAATCAAGGCTTGTTAAGATCCTTTCCCCATGCAATCATGGGCATTCAGCATCATTAGAATTCAGCACTGACTGTGTGTTTCATGCTTTGATTTTACTCAGACAATTTAATAATGTTTATTGTGCTGATTATATATATAAATTCACTCAACGCAATAAACATACCTCAGTCATCAGTACCCTAAGGGAAATATTTAGTTATAGATACTTGTATTCACTCAGGATAAGCGAAAGTGAGACCATCAACCAGCATGCAAACCTCTCATCATCTTATCAGCATTTGGGTTTCTTCAGTAACAAGCATTTTCTTTACACAAGTAAATAAATAAATAATGGGAGCCAGTTAAGTACATCTGCTGTGCTTAGAAAAATCAGGGATGTTACTTGCTTTCCATCTCATTCCACTGCCCCTTATTTGGGGGAAATTTGATTAATTTCTTAAGACAAGCAGCAAAACAAAGCGGGTGGGTGCCTGGTCGCTTTAGGTGACTGCTGACTTGGTAACCTGATGAGCAGTGGGCATCCCACAGCTACATGCTGGGGACTGTTCCCAACGTGGGTAGGTTTGGAAGAGCAGAACGGTGCAGAATTCACCAGCTTTGTGGTGAGCTGGGGTTGCTCCAGCTTGGGCTGGACCCAGGAGGTCTTGGGGGTGCTGTGGAGTCGGGTGGGCGACTGCGTGCTGGTCCCATCCCCTGGCACCCTTCTGTATGGACTGCAACATTGACAGGATGATGGAGGCTGTGTGTAAACAAGTGAGTTAATGAAGGTTCAGACCTGTTAACTTAGGAAACACATCTGTTCACAAGAGGGAAGAAGAAGAGTTGGAGGCAAAGGCTGCAGGGTCAAGAGATCTTTCTCCATCTGCCAGCCTTTCCATGTTTGTCCACTGTTGTCTTTATTATATCCCTTCCAACCATGCTTGAGTCTTGCCCTTCTACATAAGCAAGCAGCCATCTCATAGGAAAAATAGATGGGATAAACAAGGGGATTTTGAAATGTTTTTTTCTTGCCAACTTCACGGGAGGAAGAGGTCTGGAGAAGCTCTGAAGGGAAGTGAGAGGAACAGTGTGGCAGACCATGGATCTGCTGGTTAGGCTTAATGCATTGTGTTTGACTGTTGTTATCTTCCATGCCAGCTGATCCTCCATCAAAATCCCAAGGCCCTTAGATGAGGGCATTAGGATTCAGCACAATTAAGAATTACAGACTCGGGTCCATTATTAATGCTCGGGTTGAAGCAGTT